GATTTCCAGGGTAGAGGACAACGTCTTCTGCCCATGGATGGGCCACCAGGACCAGATCCCATACATCGTGACCTGGCGAGGCCTCATCGAACGACCCCCCACCTGGGTCAAGTCCTTCCTTCCCCTGATTAATCCAACTGCTCCGCCTCCACCCCTGCAGGTCCTCCCTGCAGGCAGAAGAGAAACCCATTCTCCAGGGAGGCGCGGAGGAGAACGACATCTTTCCCCCACCCTACTCCTCTCAGGTGGGCACCCTTCCAATGGCGCCACAAGTGAAGGCCCCGCCTCCTAACCCTGAGGAGCCACCATCACCTCCACAGGGACCTGCGCAGGCCACACAGAGCCAGAGGGGGGAAGCCCCCCAGCCTGACACCATTGTCCTCCCCCTCCAGCCGGCGGGGCCCCCAGATGGAGAGGGCAATTAGCCCTTTCATTACTGGCCCTTTGCCACCAGTGATCTTTACAATTGGCACTCACAGAATGCGCCTTTCTCTGAAAACCCCAGGGACTTGATTAACTTATTGGAAACTGTTCTCTTCACTCACCAGCCCACCTGGGACGATTGCCACCAGCTCCTGAGTGTCCTGTTCACTACTGAGGAATGAAAAAGGATCCTGGAGGCAGCCCGGAAATTGGTTCCGGGCCCCACCGGGAACCCTACCACAGACCCAGGCATCATTAAGGCCAGCTTTCCCCCTAGCTATCCCAACTGGGACTACAACGTGGCAGAATGTAAGGAGAGGCTCCTGGTCTACCGCCAGACTCTGTTAGTGGGTCTCAAAATGACGGCTTGAAAACCCACCAATATGTCTAAGGTCTATGATGTCAGACAGGGGCCCAAAGAGAGCCCAGCCTCATACTTAGAGAGGTTACAAGATGCCTTCTGGCAATTCACTCCGTATGACCCAGAAGTGGAGGAATCAGCTCAAACTGTGCTGTTTGCTTTCGTTAACCAGGAAGCCCCTGACATCAAGAGAAAGTTATAGTCTTTAGATAGACTAGGAGAAAAGAACCTTAGGGACTTACTAGCAGTGGCAGAAAAGGTTTATAATAGAAGGGAGACAGCAGAACAAAGAGAGGGAAAAAAAGAAAAAAGACAGGGAGCAAGACTGACCAGGGTCCTGGAGAGACAGCAGGCCCGCCACAAGAAGGACCTCAGAGAGATATTATTGGCAACCAACCCCCAGTATGGAGTGAGCTCATTGGTGGGATCCAGACCACGAAATAAGGTAGGGAAAAACCAGTGTGCATACTACAAGGAGGAAGGGCACTGGGTGAAGGACTGCCCCAAGAAGAATAAGCAATCAGCTAAGGTATTACCAGCTCTAATTGAGGGTGAAGACAGTGACTAGGGGAGACGGGGCTCAGGTCCCCTCCCTGAGCCCAGGGTAACCCTGAAAATAGAGGGGAAAACAACTGAGTTTATGGTGGATACTGGTGCCCAGAATTCGGTTTTATTGGAGCCAAGAGGGCCAGTGTCCTCCAGAACTACATGGGTACAGGGGGCAACAGGAACAAAGTCCTATTCATGGACTACCCCGATTTAGGGAAGGGCCAGGTAGCCCCTCATTTCTAGTAATCCCAGAATGTCCCTACCCACTTCTGGGCAGAGATTTATTGTCAAAAATGAGGGCACAGATCCACTTCACAGTTAAAGGAGCCACCCTGCTTCACAACGGGGCACCAGTTCAGGTTCTAGTCACCAACGATATATCAGATTGGCTCCAAAAATTTCCCCAAGCCTGGGCAGAAACAGGGGGTATGGGTCTGGCAGGACACAGGCCTCCTGTATATGTTGAACTCAAAGCAGGGGCGGACCCTGTTAAAGTGTGCCAGTATCCTATGCCCCTAGAGGCAAAACGTGGAATTACTCCACATACCAGAAGATTAATGGAACTGGGGGTGCTGAGAATGACCCAGTTGGCCTGGAACACCTGACTCCTGCCTGTCAAAAAGCCCCAATCCAGGGACTATAGACCGGTACAAGATTTGAGGGAGGTGAACAAGAGAGTCATTGACATTCATCCCACTGTCCCCAACCCTTATACGTTACTCAGTACCCTGCCACCAGATCGACAATGGTATACACTTCTGGATCTCAAAGACACCTTTTTCAGCCTGCCACTAGCTCCCAGCAGTCAACCCTACTTTGCCTTTGAATGGCATGATCCGGAGGCAGGAATCAATGGCCAGCTAGGAATCAATGGCCAGCTGACCTGGATGTGGCTGCCTCAAGGGTTTAAAAATTCTCCAACTATATTCGATGAGGCCCCACATGAAGATCTGGGTGAGTACAGAGCCCAACACCCCGACATAAGCCTGTTACAATATGTAGATGACTTACTGATTGCAGCACCGGACCAGAAGTCCTGCCTGGAGGGGACAGAGGACTTACTCCACATACTTGGGGACTTGGGATACCGGGCCTCAGCAAAAAAAGCTCAGATATGTCTGCAAGAAGTGACTTACCTAAGGGTACATCCTCAAGGAGGGGCAGCGGTGGTTGACTAAGGCCCCCAAAGAGACTGTGCTAAAGATACCTGCACTGACCTCCAGAAAACAGGTGGAGGGAGGGAATTCCTGGGTACCACGGGGTTCTGCCACCTCTAGATTTTGGGTTTCACCGAAATTGCAAAACCCCTATATGAGGCTACCAAAGAAGGACAGGACTTCAACTGGATGCAGGAAAGGCAAGGGGCCTTTGAAACCCTAAAACTCAAGCTCTTAGAGGCCCCTGCCCTAGGACTACCAGACATAAGTAAACCTTTCTGTCTATATGTGTGTCGGGAGCTGGAGAAACAACAATCATTACCAAAAAATATAATATAGCTCTACAAACAGTTGACTTAAGCAGGACATTCTGCTTACACCAGTAACCTTGAGAAAGAATTTATGGCAAGGTTATCTTTCTCTTCCCCTTGCAAACAGTTCTCAGAAAGATAAGTCATGCAGTAATCTCTTGGAACACCTGGTGGTCAGTCACGTTGCTGAATTGCTCAGTCCCCCTTCGCTGAAATTGCAAAACCCCTATATGAGGCTACCAAAGAAGGACAGGACTTCAACTGGATGCAGGAAAGGCAAGAGGCCTTTGAAACCCTAAAACGCAAGCTCTTAGAGGCCCCTGCCCTGGGCCTACCAGACATAAGTAAACCTTTCTGTCTATATGTGGATGAACGTAAAGGTATTGCAAAAGGGGTCCTCACCCAGAGAGTAGGCCCCTGGAAGAGATCTATTGCATACCTATCAAAGAAATTAGACCCTGTAGCAGCTGGATGGCCCCCTGCCTGCAAATTATAGCAGCAGTGGCCCTGCTGGTTAAGGATGCTAACAAGTTAACCCTGGGACAGGACCTGCTTGTGGCAAACCCTCATGCCTTTGAGGGGGTGCTCAAGCAACCCCCCGATTGATGGTTGAGCAATGCCTGATTAACTCATTATCAGGCTCTGCTCCTAAATCCACCCAGGATCACCTTCCAGGTACCAACGGCCCTGAACCCAGCCATGCTGTTGCCAGATCCCGATCTTGGGGACCCACTCCACGACTGTACTGAAATTCTGGCACAGGTTCATTGCATCAGACCTGACCTGAAGGATGTTCCCTTGCCTGACGTTGAAGAAACCTGGTACACAGATGGAAGCAGCTTCATCAGAAATGGTAAAAGGCATGCTGGGGGAGTGGTCACAACCACCTTGAGAGTCATTTGGGCAGAGCCACTGCCAATAGGTACATCAGCCCAAAAAGCCGAACTGATCACACTTATCAAAGCCCTAAAGATGGGTAAAGGAAAGAGACTCAACGTCTACACAGATAGCAGATATGCATTTGCAACTGCCCATATTCATGGGGCCATCTATCAAGAGAGGGGCCTCCTTACTGCAGAAGGAAAGACTATTAAAAATAAATGAGATCTTAGACCTCCTGCAAGCCCTCTGGGGCCCAACAAAACTAGCCATAATCCACTGCCCGGGTCACCAAAAAGTAAACAACCCCACCCAGAAGGGAAATAATCTGGCTGACAGGACAGCTAAAGAAATAGCCCTGACCTCCACAATCCTGCCCATTCTTGTTGATCCTGGAGCAAGGGATCTGCCTAAAACTCCCCATTATAGCCCCGAGGACTTAGCCTGGATATACATTCTCCCTATGACTCAATGCCTAGAGGGCTGGTGGAGGACAATGGATGGGAAAGTTATCCTACTTTAGAATTTAGGCTTAAGATTGCTCAAGAAAATACATCAAGCATCACACATGGGCACCTGAAGGATGCAAGACTTACTAAGAAGGGCCAAAGTTAAAATTCAGGAAGGAAATCAAGCAATCGAAAGAAATTGTTAGGCATTGTCATGCCTGCCATTAACCAACTCAGCTCCGTCCCATGCTAACCCAGGATCCTGGAGCAGAGGGACATGACCGGGTACATATTGGGAGGCGATTTCACTGAGATCAAACAAGGAAAATTTGGATATAAATACTTACTAGTATTCATAGACACCTTCTCTGGATGGACTGAAGCCTACCCAACCAAGCATGAGACTGCTCACATGGTGGCCAAGAAGCTAATCGAAGAAATCCTACCCAGGTATGGTTTCCCAAATACAATTGGATCAGATAATGGGCCGTCTTTTGTCTCTCAGGTGAGCAAGGGAATAGCCACTGTACTGGGGGCCAATTGGGAATTACATTGTGTTTATAGACCCCAGAGTTCAGGAAAGGTAGAAAGAATGAATAGAACTCTAAAAGAGACCTTAACCAAATTAGCTTTAGAGACTGGTGCAGACTGGGTGGCTCTCCTCCCCTTTGCCCTTTTTAGAGTAAGAAACACTCCATACCAGATGGGTTTGACCCCCTTTGAAATCATGTATGGAAACCCCCCTCCTATGATACCTAGCCTCCAAGCTGACCTAGTATTGATCTTGGGAGACCAGGACCTACTGGACTCCCTCCAATGGTTGCAGCTAACCCACCAACGGGTCTGGCCGCAACTCAGAGACATATATGAAGCTGCTGTTCCCCCGCAACCCCACAGGTTTAAACCGGGCAACTGGGTCTTCATCTGCAGACACCAACGGAAAAATCTCGAGCCAAGATGGAAGGGCCCCTTTGTGATCCTTTTGACGACTCCCACTGCACTCAAAGTGGATGGCGTCACAGCTTGGGTGCACTACTCCCACGCAAAACCTGCCGACCCGTTTGCAGTCCCAGAGGATTACAAGGGAGACACCTGGAAGGCATCCCCACACCCTTCGAATCCATTCAAGCTCTGTATCCAACGAGACCCTTCCTGCTAACCTGTCTGTTGTTGACGTTGAACTGCTTGTCAGCTGATGGCACCTTTCCTGCAAGTAACATGAATCCCCATATGCCCCTTAACTTAACTTGGGTAATCACCAACCCTGCCACGGGGATGGTCATCAACTGTACCTCCAAGACAGCCTCTCCCAACACTTGGTACCCCAACCTTTGGGTTGACCTCTGTGACATCGTTGAAGGAGAATGGGAACCTCACGACCAGATCCCCTTTCTTCCCTTCGGCTGCCATGACACCAGCCCCAGATCACACATGCAAAGCCTCACCATCTACTTTTGTCCAGGCCACGGACACAGAAGTCAAGTTAATAAAAAATGTGGGGGACCTGGGGATTATTATTGCGCCAAGTGGGGCTGTGAGACCACTGGCACATACTGGTGGAAAGGGTCATCAACCGGGGATCTAATAACCCTACAACGGGCCCCCGAATCTACCACCCTGGGATGGGGAGGGACCACTGGAGGAGGTATGGGGGGGCCCTGCACCCAACCACGGTGCAACCCCCTCATAATTCGGTTCACTGAGAAAGGAAAACAGTCTATGGGGTGGGATGTAGGACACACATGGGGCCTATGGCTATATGCTGCAGGGAGAGACCCTGGAGCCCTCTTTACCATTCAACTCCTCCTCCGACCGGTCGTCCATGCACTGGGACAAGCCCGAATAAACCATAAACCTTTGCTTTTGCATTTTGGTGTGTTGGGTCCTTGGTGGTCTTTTTGGGGTCCAGTGGATGAGGTACAACAACAAGGGTACAGATATGATCCCTGACTTCTGACGATTTGAGCTGGGCAGTATTCATATACTGTCAGTACTGATTTACACAGATAGTAAACTATGTTTGTTGGAGATCACTGTCCTGTTTGAACTCTGCAGAAAGCATGCTTGACTGCATGTGCAAAGTTACCAGTAGCCAATGACTGCAAGGCCAGATAGGCACACATGTGGAGGCAGATTCTGAAGTTCAGTGTCCCTATGTTCGGATTAGATAAAAACTAGGCCTTAGTTACACTGTTGTGTGAACATTTGCTCTTTATCTTGCAAACAGGCCACACTTTATTGCTAATTTTTTCCTGAGCTTCTGCAGAGAAATGTCCTTTGATCTGCCTACTCTTTGTTCCTGAGTACCTGCTCAGAGCACCCCCATTCCTATGAATAAAACCCTGAGAATTAGAGACCCAGTACTCTTTGTTCTAAGGAATCAGGACACTCCTGGTCCCCAGCTTAATATTAAGTTGTCTTGTGTATAATATTTTATTATTAGATACCTCGTCACCCCCTTTGTGTTCACCACTACCCAGTCACTCAGAACATAGCATATGTTGTTGATAGGACTTCTCACACAAGTGACTTTTGTATTAAGGAGAGTTTACTCTTTACTGGTATATTCCAGCACCAACTGAAATTGGTTAAAAAAATTGTATGACCTTGATACAAGAATATCTATAACCTGATATGTACATGTCCTGGAAGCAAAAATACTCGGAATGATTATAACAAATAGCACTGGGGCTGTGGCTCAGTGGAAGATCATTTGGCTGGCACACACAAGGCTCTGGCTTCCAACCACAGCACCACAGAATAACAACTATTAATATATTGACTAATCTATGCTAACAATTATAATAAAATCATTTCATTGAATACCATTTTTAGTATTTTAAAAACCTGGAAATAAGTCAAATGCACAAATAGATCCAGGATGCAACTATGTCCTGGATACAGTGTTCAGGGAGGGGAAGTTATGCCACCATTTTCATAATACAGTCCTATTTTCATAATTCAGTAATTAAGGTCTTAGCAGATGCAGGTATAACTGTTGGCATATTAAAGTGATGACTGATCAGGGGGATACACTTGTGTGTTCCTGGGTTATATAAAGTAAATGTGACCGCCATGAGAGCAGAGCTCTCTTTAGTCCACAACAACCCAGCACCTACCCAGACCAAGGCCAGCTGTGGAACATGAACAATGATTTTTTAAAAATTTTTAAATAAAAAACACAGAAATGCGTAAGATAAAAACTGAAGGGCCCTAGTCAGATGCAGTGATGCACACCTGTAATTTCAGCACTTAAGAAGCTAAGACAGAAGAATCTTGAATTCCAGGCCAGCCTGGGCTACACAGCAAGACACCACCTCACAAAACAGCGGAGGGGGTGGGAGAAGATCCTTAGGCCTCTGTTCTCTGACACACTTTTCACAAGCAGGCAAGTGTTTGCCTCTGGGGTCCCAAGGCAGTTGTGGCCTTACCTCCACCTCTCTCGTCTCCAGGATAAATGCGTTGGGGTTGGTCCTCTTCTCCATATCCTGCAGCTTGTTCAACTTTTCTATCAGAAACATCTTATCTTTACCCTCCTGTCAAGGAGGAAAAAAATAAACAAATGTCAACTTTCCTGCCACTGTCTGAAGGCCTAGGACACAGGTTTTCCATATTCCCCTACTTGCAAGCTCCCTGCCCCAGTGCCTATTGGGAATAATCTTGCTTGGGTCTGCCCAGTCCTTCTATTGAGAAAGCTAAAGCTTAGTGTTCTGCCCCTAAGATGTAAAGAATGATTCATTTATTAAAGTTATTTTTTATCTTGTGGTGGGTGAGATGACTCAGCAGGTAAAAGCTCTAGCTGCCCAAGACCGACAACCCGAGTTCAATCCCTGTGACCTGTGGTGGAAGGAGAGAGCAATTCCCAAAAGTTGTCCTCTAACCTCCATACATGCTGTGGACACACATGTACACACACACACACACACACACACTACTACTAATAAATAAAATTAAAAACAAAAAAGTCAGTTATCTGTGTTAATGAAGATCTGGGATTCAACAGTTCAAAGACAAACGGGCTGGAGAGATGGCTCAGCGGTTAAGAGCACTGGCTGCTCTTGCAGAGGACCCACATTCTGTTCCTAGCACCCACATAGCAGCTAACAACCATCTGTAACTCCAGTTCCAGGGGATCTGACACCCTCTTTTGACCTCCACAGGCATTGCATGACACAAGTGCATTTACATACATGCAGGCAAAACACTTATACACATAAAATATAAATAATAATAAATAAAAAATTAAAAAACAAAGAGGAACAAAGGAAGGGGACACGGCTTCTCCCAGGAGGCTGTAATCACTTTCCTGTGAACCCTGATGACAGAAAAGAGTAGAGATAGATGAGTAGATGTCTCCCTTACTCAGGCATGGTGACCACAATTCTATGTTTCTCTTTAAACTTTGAACCATAACATTTATCATCTTTTTTGTAACAATTATTCCAACAACCACCACTGTAATAATTACTTAACAAAATTCTTTCTGTGGTATCTGCTTCAAGATCACTTTCTATTTTGCTCATTGCATCTACATTTACTACCTGACTACTACTGTAAGGAACAGCTTGCCCTTAGGAACTGGAATTCTCTTGTGTGGTTCTAGAACTGTTAGGATTGTAACTTAGCTAGCAGAAGTGGGTTTCAGGGAGCAGGCCTTGAAGGTGAGGCCTACTTCTATTTCTAGTTCAAGCTCTCTGCCTCCTGATCTGCCAACACGTGAGGGGGCTCTGGTGCATGCTCCTGCCTTCCGCACCACATAAGCCAAAATAAATCCTTCCTATTCCAGCTGCTCTGTCAAGCATTTTGTTACAGTGATGACAGAAGTAACTAATACATAAAGCCTGAGAGTTATTTAAAATAATACAAAGATTGACAGGGATGAAACAAGAGTAAGTAAATGTCCGCAGTGGCTGGGGAGATACAAAGTCTGTAGTGAGTGAATTTGATCCACAGAACCTATCTAAAAAACATCAGGTGTGGTAGCTGGTTGAGTGCCAGGCCAAAGAGAGACAGTATCTCATTAAAATAAGGGGGGGCGGTATTCCTGGAGAGATGGCTCCGTGGTTAAGAACACTGGCTGCTCTTGTAGAGGACCTGGGTTTGGTTTCCAGCACCCACATGGCAGCTGACAACTATCTATAACTCCATTTCCAGGGAATCTGATGCCCTCTTGTGGCCTCCATGGGCATTGCAAGACATGGGTATATGTACATGCGTGCAGGCAAAACACTCATACACATAAATTTTAAAAAATTGTAAAAACTCTAAAGAAGGGAGCAAGTTCAGAGGTTTGGATGTTTTGAAAATGTATTTATTTGTTTTGGTGTGTACATTCCTGGTCTACATAGTGAGTTCCGGGACAGCTGGGGTTACAGGGAGACCCTGTCTCAAAAAGACCAAAAAAAGGAGGGGGGAAGCACTGGAAGAACGACACCCAAGGTTGTCCTCTGGTGTACACACACACTACACACACACACACACACACACGCACACGCACACACCCATACACACATGCACACACATGCTGGATGATGGGGACATGGAAATTCACTGTTCAATTTATTCTCTGTATTTTGGACTATGTTTGGAAATTTCCATTATTGTCTATACAGGTGTGTGTGGGGAGAGAGAGAGAGAGAGAGAGAGAGAGAGAGAGAGAGAGAGAGAGAGA